GTGTTTATCTAGACCTTCCCAACCGCCACTTGTTGACACATTCCCACAGCTACATCTCCTAAAATCCTACGATTGATTAAATATCCTCATTTTATCCATATTTTAACTCAAATATCTGACCTAAATTTTCAAACCCACAATCTAGAACCTGGAACATGCGGGATTATGGATTACGGTGTGATGAACAGTTCTAAATATAGTTTGAGGAAACTAGACTTGCTAATCTGTTGGTATTTGTGGTATGCCAGTGACTGCGTAGTCGGTATCTACAGTGTAGATACCGACTACTGATTCTACACCGTTCTATTGCTAGTCAATATCTACCCCGGCATTATATTGCTGAAAACTACGTAAGTGGGGGAAATTGACAAAAGAATATACTTGATTAGGGTATATACTGTGTGATATGAGTCCTGTTATAATAGCACTACTATACAGTATACACATCATCATTGTTATACTAGTACCCAGGTGGGTAACATCTACTATAAATAGTGTTACAAATATTAAAATTCCGGTTTGTAGCCTTATATACAGATAGGTATTTTAGTACGTTTTATAAAAGTATTGTTATTAATTATGCTAGTAAGTTATTTTCTGGGATGAATAGTTTAAACACTGCTGAGTATAAGTTGTATCTTAAAATAAAAGTGGTGTTATTAAATTTCAATTTATTATACAGGGTGGGCCAAAAGTCAGTGTGCAAACGTTGGGTCTTATACCTCCGCCGTGTTTTATATTTGAGAGCTGTTGCTTTGCAGATGGCATACTGTACTTACTGGTTCGAGGATTCCGTCGTCAAAATTTGAAAATTCGAATATTTTAGACCACGCCCATTCAATATTAAAACACCTATATTGTTCTCTCTGAACATGCTGAACGCCTAATTTTTGTCAGAGACGGTAGATTATCAAATGTTGCATATGATCTGAAAACATGAGGCAAAACGGATTAGAAATGACGAAGTTATTAAGCATTTTGTGTATCTCGTTAACAAAATTGACTGGGTGATTATGTGACACCGTGACACGACACCTTAATTGGGCACCTTTAACAATTCCTATAATGTTTAACGGGGTAGTTAACGGGGTCACCTTATCACGTGATTAGGTAAACCAATCACCTGATCACACGTAATGAATAAACTCGTTATGCTTCATATCTCGGTCATCTGAGAAGCTACAGTTCTAATTCTTTCAGGACAAACGTAATTCGAATGGCCAAACACAATTCAATAACATTTAGCTTGATCCGACTATCCAAACTATCAAATAAATGTGAAAATGAACCTCCATTTGAAAAAAATTAACGCGAATATTTTTCGAGTTGACAAATTCCTCGAACCAGTGGTGGTGCTAAGTCGTACCAGAAGGAAGTATTTCAATTGGGCACTCAGTGACTGAGCTATTAAGGCCAACGTTTGCACACTGACTTTTGGCCCACCCTGTATTATTACGTATTTTACTGTACTCAGTACTGCGCGCATTTTGAGACTGGACACAGAGCGGTCAAGTGCAAATTGCAAGTAAATAGTTTGATTGTAACATACATGTTATTTAGTTAATGATCACAACTTTCTGTCACCAGAGACGTTTATTTGTATCGTCTAGTCAGTAGTTACTAGTTAGTTACTAGTTACTAGTTAGTTACTAGTAGTAGTTATACATGTTTTACACCTTTCCTGACGACTTATTCGCAGTAGAAACTCTTCTTTGATACTTTAATACTCTTATCTCAAAGTACAATGACAGTCAATAACAGTCAATAGGGCTCTTTTCGATGAATAGGGATGCTGTTTTTGGCAATGAACAGGTTTTACAGCGATATTTAGACAATATCAGTGTTAATGGTTTTATTTGCCCCAACGTTAAGGAGTCTTGTTGATGAGTTTAGTTCAAACATATTGTTACCTAAAGTAAATAAGTAAACTGAAAGGTCCGCAATCTTTTAATCTATACAAATTCTCCCTTTTATTTGTGAGACTTCTCAAGTTATTGCACAGGTTCTCGCAGTTCTTCCTTTTTCTTTCTTATTCTTTGTTCAAGAGGAAACACCGCTTTAATTAATGACTTTAACAAACCCTTACTAGTTGTTTGATCGGTCCTTTAATCTAACACCTAGCATTGCTACTCACTGACAGTATAGAATATCAAATTCATGATTAATGGCCATAGAAGGGCACATTTTTCGATCGCACAACTTTAAGTTATTTATACTAAGCAGTGAGAAATGAGTCGCCATCTGGAGGATTTGACTTTGGGTTTAATTCTTTACAATGAACTGCCCTCCCAACATTAATTTTTAGTAAGAGATTTAGCAAACATTTATTTCATATTTACTAAGAATTATCCCAATTTTTGTTTATTTTTTATTTATCTAAATCTATTCTACTAGCTTTAAAAACATCTTATGAAAATGAATTCTAGCAATAAGGAATGTAAATTCCTACACCCCTGTCTCTTGCTCTAATTGATTGACTTTTAGCCAATTTTAAAACAAATAAAAGATAGACAGGAATTTTGAGTACATGAAAATGTTGAGTATTCGATTTTTGTGAGTCTTACATTTTTACCTAACTATTTCACTATATAATATCTTATATGCATTGCACAGAGCATTTTTCCTGATGACAGTTTTTCGGGCGAACATAGTGGGAATACTGAGTAAGAACAGTAACACTTGAAATGAACCTTCCAACTACTGTATATCACTGTATATAAAGTGTCTTCTCAACTATTGTATCTCACTCAATGAGATCTCAGATCAACACCATCAAAACATTAAAGCTCTTTCAATACTCTTTGTGCCGTTCTGATGTTTTTAGTTCGCTTTAAACCGCTGTTTGGTATCATCACTCTGTTGACTTGTTGGACTACTTCAGATGTTATAGAGAAAATTCACAAGACTTTCTCCAACTGATATCGCGTATTTTCTAGTTGTTACGAAAATACATAATCGCTTAGCTCTTAAGGTTTACTTTAATAGAGTGATAACATATTTATTTTCCTTTTATTTATTTTCCTTTTACTTGTATTTATCAAGTAATTCGTTTCTCAATATTATTTAGTTCTACAGTTTTCTATTCATATAACTATTTTTTAGTCCGAGAATTTTATAGTCCGAGCATTTTCCCAGCCTAAACATTCTTTGTCGCCATTGATTTTATCCAAGTTTCCTTGTTGTATTATTCTCTATTATTTGATGAAAGTTTCAACCACAAACCACCCAGAGGGAAGGAACATGATATTTTGCGCTGACGAGGAGAATGGAATTGTGGGTGACCCCCGCTACGACACTCTTGTGAACACCATCTACGCTGTTATCGTCATCATCGCATTCATCATCTCCGGACTCCTGAACCCTGCTCTGTTCTGGTTCCACTTCTCCCGGTCCTCCACCATCCTCACTATCCTACTGAGGATTCTGAACGTGGTGGACTTTGTTACCACCACTATCTTGTGCCCCTACTTAGTGTACGGACTCCTCATCCCCATCCCTCTGCCTCATCAAGTGCTCGCCACTCTGGGTCAGAGACTTTACTCCGCCGTATTCGCTTTTATCCTCTTTATGAGCGTCAGTACCACCACTATAATGACCGTCACTAGAGCTTACAGTATCAAGTGTCCCCTGAAGGTATTGCGGAGGAAGAGTGCTATTGATTATCCCATGTTGGTGCTGATGGGCATAGCTCTGCTAATTACCAGTATTAACTTCTATTTTAACGCAACATGGGACCGCTTCCTATTCAGCACTAACCGACTCAAACTAGTTCTCTTCAAACACGGCACTGGACAAATAGACAACTGGCCTGAACTCGCATTCGGGGGATTACTCATGACCATTGCCATGGGAGGTATAGTGTGCGCGGCGATCACCGGGAGAGAGATCTACAAATCCAGGACGCGCACTACGACAATCAACACGCGGAAACGCGCGCACACCCAGCAGAAGATGTATAGGCGAAGCTGCGTTACTATTCTCATGTTGTCAGGGGGTATCCAGGCTGCTGTTCTCCTGGTTTGCATCCAGTTTCTCTACTCTATATTCGTGAGGGACGGGTTCCCGTATCATGCTAACTATTTCTTCTATGCTAACGGATTGTTTTGCTCACTGGTTTTATCAGTTGTAAACCCTTTTATCACTGCTGCTCGTAGCACTGGTTTTAAAAAATTTTTAATGAAGAAACTACGGGGTGAGTCAGCTGATTCAAATACAATAAAATCAAAAGGGTTGGGACTTACCTCTAGGCTGACTATGAGCAAATTATGTGATAGAACTTCGGTTCTTAAAGGTCTTAACAGTGGACGCGAACGAACCCCATCCTAATTCTTTTCATAAATTATAATCGCTGTCCGCTGAACTAAAAAAAATATGTGTTCTTGTTTATATCCTCCAGATTAAATCTCATTATAACTATAAGTAATCTTGATCAAAACGTTTATTAATTAAAATTACTGCGGGGGTGACGTCACTGTAGCATAAAGTTATTCAATTTAGATAGACTCTAACAGATAGACTTATTTTGTAAAAGTGTGATTTCGTTTTTTCCAAACCAATTTAGCAACTTTGCCAACTAGTCGGGGAGAGAGTAACAGTAGAGTTACAGAGTAGTACTACTAGTAAAACTACAGTATTAACGGTTATTATTACTAGAGTTACTGTTAAGGAATCAGTAACTATAGTAGCCAGGATTGAGCGGGAAAATACTTCACTTCTACGTCGAGGGAACTGTAATCAAAATTGATTGTTTGTAATATAATGTTAAGATTTCGGTCAATTCAAGCGGTTTTCCTTGTAAAAATATCTTTACTCCGTATAAAAAAGTACTGTACCCCTTATTAAAGTCAGTTAAATCCTGAACAACCACCAACAAGTGAAAATCTTAAAACTCTTTTAGATGTTAATTAATCTGGTTCGCACAGCTGGCATAACAAATATAATTTGTACCCTGTGTCTAACCCCCTGTGCATTGCAACAACTAACCATCCTTGTGTTTTCAGAGTAACTTCTACGAGACACCCCGGGGCAGTTCCCCCAAAAGCACCACCTCATCCTACGCGTCAGCTGCCGAGTTTAACAACACATTCGTAGCTCCCCTAGATACGCCCTATCAGAACAGTGTTACTCCTCTCCATCTCTCCAGCGCTGAAGATACAGACTGTGGATGAGACAGTGTGATATAGCTCCCACTTATGTGCCTTTATTTCGTGCAGAGTGGACTGGTGGTGCACGTGCGGTTATGTCACAGGATATTTATAATATACTGCTGCGTAATGTGTGCCTCACTCAATATTGGTTCAATCTGTTACTTAAATTGGGCACAGTTAGTTTCTCTAGCTCATATGTAGTCAATAGGGGCCAACACTATTACTCATTGCTTCTGGCTTCATAAACCTTCGTCGGATAATACGCGTAATATTGTTAAATGAGAGGATCTTGTTTTTTTTAATGATACTTCTTAACTTCTAGGTGCAATTAACATGTGCCTACATATCCAGTACATACTGATTTTATAACACTTTGCAAGCAAGGTAGGTGGAAGCACAACTTTGCAAGCAAGGTAGGTGGAAGCACAACTTTGCAAGCAAGGTAGGTGGAAGCACAACTTTGCAAGCAAGGTATAGTAGGTGGAAGCACAACGTATGCTTGCGATCTATTATCGCTACTCTGATGGTCGTAAGTCGCTACGTACTGATTTATAGAAGCGATATTCTTAAGATTCTTGAACTCGAGTATACAGGAAAAGTAATGTTTCCTTTTCGCCGAGGAAGCAGTGTTTAAGTTTTTGATTTAAATTCACAGAATTGGATTATGGTTTCCAGTGATTTTTAAGATATATAACATGTTAATGATGATAATTTATTGAAATTATGCTTGTTAGTATCAGAAAGCAACATATCCTCAGAATTCAGATTAAGTGTGGAACCTGTGTTAGTTTCTATGTTTTTAAGTCTGATTTCAAATTTATTACTCAGCCGTAAATAAAGGTGTGTTCTTCGTTAATCCTTGAAAAATTTGTACTGATTTCTTTGTATTTCAAATTCTGTTTTCTTGCAGATCTAAAATGTGGCCGTTGATTTCTGCATTTTCTATTTTGAATATCTTCAAAATCAAATGTTAAATTTTTTCAATCAAATTAATTTATTACTATGTGATCATATGTATTTTGTACCGATATTAGTTAATAAACTGTGCTATATAATAACAGTTTATTTAATATCAAATTGTTGAACTTTATTTGTGCAACGGAAGTTTCTACTCAAGTTAGCTCGAAATTTAAAGTTGATATTCAAAAAACCAATTTCACTAAAGTATCCCATTTCATCATTAACGAACTGTTTAAAAGTCCAGCGCATGAAATGTCCAGTATTCTGCAGAATGCAGAATAACGAATATCTATCTGTAGTGTCATCTGTACCGTCATTCAGGAATCAGTAACTTCACTACTTCTAGCTAGCATAATTCAGTTTAACGTCACTATACTACAACTAATATTTCACTATTCAATCCTGGATGTGAAGCTATCTAACCTGTAATTATCTTAATTAATTTGCTGTAAAATTAAAACCTATTGCAATAGTAAACCTTTTTCTTTGCACCTTTCCGTAACACTTTATTCTAAACACATTTTAATTCGCTATCGAGGAGGATTAAGTCATTATGAAGCACCACGCTCGGTAATTATTACCTGAAGTTCCGTTTACCCCGCAGATGACCGAGATATGAAGCATAACGAGTTTGTTCATTGCGTGTGATTGGGTGATTGGGTTGATGCTAGATCCGCATTATCATTATATTTATGGGAATCGTGCAGAGAGCCCAATTACGGTTTCGTAATTGGGTAGGTAATAATGAAATAATATTCAAAGAGTTGAAATAAATAGAACTTTTTCGTTAATTCTGCCAAAATTTCCGGACGTCCGGATTTTCAGAAACCACCCCCTTCCCCTGTCCGGATTTGTCCGAAATTTCAAAACCACCTCCCCCGGCCCCCCCCCCCCTCCCTATTTGCCGGACGTCCTATAAGTAGATGGCCCCTAAGCCGTGAATGAATGGAAAAAGTAAGCGATCGATTTCATTCTCGGTATCACTATCATTTTGCATTTGCAGACGGTCAATCAAATTAATATCATTTCCTAACTTTTGTTTGGGAAAGTGAGACACTGTCAGCGGTCCACTCTACCCAATTATGGGTTTTGGTCAAATGGTATATACTATTGTTTTGCTTATCGCTCCCTAATCTAACTAGACTAACGCTGGCTAGTTTAACTTTAACGAATACCTTATCGGACCTTATATGGACGTACATTAAATGAACGGACATAATTATGTACGGACATTAATATAATTATAAACGCTAGAAGGCATTTAAAACCATCAAAAATCCGAATTTTTTTCATTTTTTTGACGTTTTTTTAATTTCAGCAAATGATTTTTAAATCCATTTTTATAGTTATACAGTAAGTAAGAAAAGCAGTCGTTAAGCAGTAAACATGTTAAGATATGTGTACATGATCAGTGTCTAATATCACATATCACCTTCATTAAATGGGTTTTCGTGCATGAAATAGTCCATTCTTAAAGCATCAGTGATTTCTAGCTTTGTGGAAACCTTTTTTTATCAAACTACCCCGGTCCTGCATTTCAATTTCAGTGTTAACTTTTACAAGACATTCGGCGTGAAGTGGTTTTATCTTAGACAACTTTAGGTTAACCTTAACATCACGTGGAGTTTTCCTAGCACCGTTTCATTACCTCCCCTGGGTAATATGAACTATAACAACGTCGGACAATGTCCTTGGCAATACGATTTACCGTAATATCTAGAGGCTAGAACAAGTTTGTCATGTTGAACATGATGATGAACTATGTTGTTGAGTGCCATAATTTCGTTGACTTTTTCCGCTAAGTGACCCTCGAAAACATCATATACTTGTAGAGTTTTCTGTACCTCCAGCAGACCAAGGATAGGAGAACCTTTCAGTCGTTAACTTACGGCACAATAAAATAATAAAGCTCTCATAGTTGTCATATTCTGGACAAAAAGTTCGAAGTGGAAAAATGTTTGAAAAAATTCAACGAACTTTAACTTGGACGGACCTTAAAATTAAATGAACGGACATTAATAATAATATTATTTGACATTTGAACGGACGTTAAGATGAACGTCGTTAGCGCCTCCAATCCAGCTTTCAATTAATGTCCGTCCAAATAAGGTCCGATAAAGTATATGACATCTAACTTAACTCTGGAAATACATTTTCTTTCGCCGCGAACGCGAATTCGCCTCGATTTTTCCTAGTTTGGCTTGTCGCGGCGCGGCGATTTTTGGCCTAAATTATCGCGATTTTCTTTTTTCCTTGTAGCGCGATGCGTTACTGTGCCGCGCCGCGCACTCAATGATCGGTGAGATGCGCTACTGTGCCGCGCCGAGCTGAGATGAATTGACATCGTTAATTAACTTTTTTCTTTGCTGTCACGTGACTTCTTCAACCCGTTCTCTAGCTGGCCCTGAACAACAAAATGAAAAAGCATATGCTGAAACCCTAACAGTAACACTAGTAACCCTAGGCCTAGCTAACGAAAAATTATACTGTCGGGCTGCTCTTTTTGAAAAATCTCGATGATCGAGTGTAAAGTGATTTAGCACGCTCGATAATAAATCGATAAAGTCATAATCAAGGAAAATTATACGTGAAAAATAATTTGGGGGAATAATGATGCAGGTGACCTAAAGTTTTTTAACGAATGTTATATAGGTTGAATCAAAATTTATTACACTCGATCATGAGTATCTAAAACATCCCGTGGACATCAGATATCTCTGTAGTATATGTTGACTCTTACTAAATCGCTCGCCCAAAAATTTCACGTGACTTTGGTTTTTTTGGTTTTGCAGCCGTACAAAACGGTTTTACATAAACCCTAATCCCAACCCTAACCATAACCCCGAAGCTATCCATAATCTTAACCACAACCCTAACCCTAACCCTAGCCCTGAATAATCGAATTCACGTTTTACTAGCCTGTCACGTGACCAAAACGCGAACGGTTTTTTGCCGTTAACTCTCCAGGGAAACATTTTAACCCTACGTCATGGGGGGTCATTCGAAATCAGCGTCCAAAAATACACCGATCTAGATCACTTTCATTGTTCATGCCTAAGGGCCTTTTCACAAGAATTTTCTTAAAATTTGGGCGAGCGATTTAGTAGGAGCGGTATTTATAATATATAAGTTAAAACCATGCATCCGTAAGGAGGACAGTTAAACGTTTGGTTTACTATTTCATATTTGTTTACTTTTAGACTAGACAATACTATAACTTTTTGATTGTTTCCGAAATAATTTGACGGATGTTACTCGTCTAAATTTCTTCGAAGTAGCGCGCGCCGCTTTCTTCTCGAAATGGCCCGACGGCACGAGCTACGAAGTAGCGCGCGCCGGGCCAGATCATTAACAATGGTCAACGAAATAATGTGCTGGCCGAAATACGAGCTAAAAACCATTCAATGGTCAATGGTCAGCGCGCGCGTCTTACGGTCGATGTTGTAGGTTTACAACCTACCTGCTACCAGGACGCGCGCCGAGTTGGACTCGTCGACGTCCAATATATGGAACAGATATTTTACGAGCATCAGTATCACCCGTTAAAGTCGCTTCTACTAAATCGCTCGCCCAAATTTTAAGAAAATTCTTGTGAAAACATAAAAGGCCCTTTCGGTATGAAATTGATCTCAATCTGTGTATTTTTGAACGCTGATTCCGAATCACCCCCCATGACGTAGGGTAAAAATGCTTCCCTGGAGAGTTATGGGCAAAAAACCGTTTTGGTCACGTGACAGGCTAGTAAAACATGAATTCGATTGTTTAGGGCTCTGGTTAGGGTTAGGGTTGTGGTTGCTCTAACCAGAGCCCTCTCGCTTGCAGTAGCGCGCGACCGCCGGAGGCGGCAAAGAGGGCTCTATCCATGGCCACAACTGGCACCACAAATCGTGGTGCCAGATTTCCTCCCATATTTCTGATGCCGCGCGGGACGTGTCAGTCATTTTTAGTCATGTCCGTGGATTGTGATTGTAATATACAATGTATAGGAAAACAATATTTTCTCATTGGATTTGATTTTTGTAGAGAGCTAATATACCTTCTTTGATCATGCACTCCATTTAACAAATTTTGCTTGTTCCTTAGTTTGTTGCAATCATTCAGTTGATCATTCGGCGGATGATTCAAAGGGCCGGGACATATTTTAATGTTAAATTCTCAATAACCAGCAGACTTGTTACCTGCAGTTACCTTGCTACACTTTTGTCTTTTGCAATTGGACTTTAGATTTATTTTCTCATTGGATTAGATTTTTGTAGGGAGCTAATATACCTTCTTTGATCATGCACTCCATTTAACAAATTTTGCTTGTTTCTTTGTCTGTTGCAATCATTCGGTTAATCATTCGGTGGATGCTCCAAAGGGCCGGGACATATTTTAATGTTAAATTCTCAATAACCAGCAGACTTGTTACCAGTTACCTTGCTACACTTTTGTCATTTGCAATTGGACTTAAGATTTATTTTCTCATTGGATTAGATTTTTGTAGGGAGCTAATATACCTTCTTTGATCATGCACTCCATTTAACAAATTTTGCTTGTTTCTTTGTCTGTTGCAATCATTCAGTTGATCATTCGGCGGATGATTCAAAGGGCCGGGACATATTTTAATGTTAAATTCTCAATAACCAGCAGACTTGTTACCAGTTACCTTGCTACACTTTTGTCTTTTGCAATTGGACTTTAGATTTATTTTCTCATTGGATTAGATTTTTGTAGGGAGCTAATATACCTTCTTTGATCATGCACTCCATTTAACAAATTTTGCTTGTTCCTTTGTTTGTTGCAATCATTCAGTTGATCATTCGGCGGATGATTCAAAGGGCCGGGACATATTTTAATGTTAAATTCTCAATAACCAGCAGACTTGTTACCAGTTACCTTGCTACACTCTTGTCATTTGCAATTGGACTTAAGATTTATTTTCTCATTGGATTAGATTTTTGTAGGGAGCTAATATACCTTCTTTGATCATGCACTCCATTTAACAAATTTTGCTTGTTTCTTTGTCTGTTGCAATCATTCAGTTGATCATTCGGCGGATGATTCAAAGGGCCGGGACATATTTTAATGTTAAATTCTCAATAACCAGCAGACTTGTTACCAGTTACCTTACTACACTTTTGTCATTTGCAATTGGACTTTGGATTTATTTTCTCATTGGATTAGATTTTTGTAGGGAGCTAATATACCTTCTTTGATCATGCACTCCATTTAACAAA